GGCTAGTGCTTATTAATTTATTCGTTGCTAATTTCGTCCAGTTACTGAACTTACATTTCCTCTGCGTAACACAGGAACACTAGGAGGCTTCTGAACAGCTGATGCAAGTGCTTAATGCGGATGATGGAACAGATGGAGTGAGCAGCTCAGAAGACCGCAAGCGCGCATGGTGCAATTAAGCAGGATTACATCTCAATAATATTAAGGACTTTATATTAAAAGCAGGTTATTTAAGTGGCCAAAATTTCAGCGGCTTATTCAGCGGTTAACAACGATGCCATAATTTCGTTCAAATTATAAGAAACTATGTAGTTTTTTGAAAACTACCCCATTTCGCAGAAAAAATGCTGGGAAAATTTACCAGATTCGATTGAATTCCGCAAGGGATTGAATGAGTGCATTTGACTGTGCATAATAATTTTTATATAGGTATTCCATGAACATTTTGCCGCTGCAGACACAATCCCGCGAAACTTGTAGAATTTGAAAAATTTCGCAGGGGACACAATCGGCAAAGACAAAATATTCGGATGCGAAATACCATGATTTAAGCCCGGCTAGCATTGCTTCAAAAGTATCCAATCAATACAGCCTACCAAGTGAACCAACTCGGTAATAGCCAACGTTGCAGTTACTCGACATCTAATATAACTAATCAAATACGACTTTTAAAAACAGACATGATGTCGTCGCGTTGCTGTTTGATCTCTTTAACGGTCAGCTCGATGGCCACAGTGTTCTTGTTGGCGCTATCGTAGTTGGTGCGAAGATGATCGAATTCACTGGTCATCGCGTCAAAACGAGCGCGCTGCTCTTCCAGTTCATTGGCCAGACCCTGGCGCACATTCTCCAGGTTTCGCAGGGTTGTATCTGCAACGACAAAATGTTTGAATGCGAAGTACGTTGTGTTTTATTTTGTCGACCAGGATTGCTCGGGAGAGCTGCACGAAGCTTGCAATGTTACATAACATGCTAATCGCATCTACTTCCGAGTTGTCACGTTTCGAGCTGCCAGTAGCTAGTAGACTGATCAACGAAAAGCAAAGACGGAAGCCCCCTTTGCAGAAAACTTCTGAAAAATGGATTTCAAAAAAGATGGATTTGACTTCTGAAAAATAGTGTTCCATTCTGTATTC